ATATTCCAAGTGCAAGGGACCATCTTATTAGTGGGTAAAAGCTTAAAGGCACTTCCAGTCCAGTTCTTATAAGTATTTTCTGGCTCCAGTTGTGTTCCACCTAGTTTTATCATGGTGGGATCATGGTGGGGCCTTGCTAATCAAACTGCTACTGTTGATTTATTTAAACACATGGTGTCATTTCCCAGCTCTGTCCTGCTAAATGTTAATATTTATTTTTAATTAAAATGGTAGAAAGGTTAGATAAGTTTGAGAAAACTTCTATTAACCAGAGCAGGTGGTAGTGCAGATTCACATATCTTAAGTTTTGAGAAGTCAGTCTTGCAATAAAGACACATGCTTACCTTTGTGCAATATAGCATTTTGCAGGATTGCTTGGCTTTGGACAAAGTTTAGAAGACTGCCATTTGCAGCCACTAGAACAATGACCATGACTAGTACTCAATAGAAGATTCCCTGAAGGAACAGTGTCACTCAGGGAAGTTAGAGGTTCTCTGGTTTGCAGTTTTTGGGTGTTGCTCATGCAATACTGACCACATGAACGGGCGTGGATCTGGTATACAGCCCCCACTGTGTTTTCTTGAACATGTGGAATGAGGCAGGAATGAAAATAGGTTGTGTGCTATCACAATGATTTAAAAAGATAAAAATATTTTGCAAGTTTGAATTGCCAACTGACTATATCCCATAAAAATGCAAAATATTTATAACCTATGTTTGTGTAAATTGAGTATTTATAGGTCTACCACAGCAATTTTTAAATACTAATACTTGTTTCTCAAAATGCAACAAAAATGTTCATTATAGAAACTGGATGTTTATGGTAAAAGGCATTCAACTACTCTGTTTAAAATATTTATATTAAAATATTGGAAAAGATGTAACTGCATATCACTTGATTATTAAATACAATATAATTTAATATAGTTTTATATTCTTCATTTCAAATTAAAATACCTCTTATTCAAATATTTTAAAAATCATTTTGATCTAGGGAACAAGAGTATAAATGAATGTTGATGATTCTGACTCAGCAACAGGAAGTGGTTTTGCATAAATTGTTGCAAAAATGTTTACAAGGTGAAGGTAGATTCTAATCATGTAATGTACAGCACATTAATGCTAATTTTTTACAGGGCTGTTATTATGTCCTTTCCACAGATGTGCAAATTTAGATATAAAACCTGGCTAAGGTGAAGGAGCAAATTGCTGACAGCTAGGTCACCTCCACCCCGTGTCAAATGCTCTACTCTTAATCATGGAAATTCACTCATAAGTAACAAAGTGTAAGGTGCTTAATCTAAAGACACCAGTACAATTTGCCTGTGTGCAAAGAGAGGGAGACGCCATAAGAGCTGCTGGACTTGTGCTCGCCAAGGCAGCCTGCTCAAAGCTGATTACAGTGCCAGAATGCAGATATGTGGTAAGCAAACAATGCTTCTCTTTTTTTATTCTTAGGCTTTTTAATTTTAATTTTAGCAACATTTTACTACATTTAAAAATGCAAGGGATGGTATTATTTCTTAAAATGGAGATAGCAAACTATGAATTCTTACTTAATGATAGCTTTTAGAAATCAAGAATCCATCAATGAGAACCATAAAAATGCATCAACATGTGTCACTGTCAGAAACCCAAGGAGATCATTAATACAAAAAACTCACTTGTATTGTGGGACAAATCAGGTCTTGAATGCCAATGAGAGCAACTTAATTTTGTATATGTCTCTCTGTAAAATTTGACAATGTTTTACTTTACCAAAAGACCAGAACATCTTGCTCTTAAACTTGGCTTCTGGGTATGCTGTATTGACACAATCTTGTCAAGGAATCTTCAAATGGCATCATTTGGGAAGACCTTTTTGAAGTCTTTGAGCCTAAATATTTATAAAATACTTTTATTTCAAATGAATATAGATGTGGGCCCTTTGTACCCAAGTTTGAGCTACACCCAGGAGCTGTGGTAGCCTCTGCATTTTGGGAGTCAAATAAGAGCAGAATCCTTCTTCCAGATCCACTAAGCTCACAACAGATTTTCTCATTACTTATGTATTTATTTAACAGTCTCAGGCATTTTTTTTGTAGATAGTTTAGCCTATTTTAAAAATGTCACTTCTTTTGTTTCCTGATTTAGAAATTTTATACATATTCATTTCACATATATGGAAAATATACAAGTATAAGGAAAACAATAAACATAACTGGTAATAAGCATTCTTAACATTTTGATGTTTCTCTATCAAAATATATTTCCAAGTTCCATACAACCTTTTTCTTTACCCCAGTGCAAAAGTATAAAATAAAATAGAATGAAACTTGACCTATTTGGTTCCTGAATTTAGAGAACCAGAGTTTAAATAAAGAGGGATGCCAATAAAGTCTTCTATGTAACCCTAAGTATAGTAAGGTAGTTAGAAGGCTACACATCCAAATGCTATTATTAAAGAAATATGTATTTATTTTTACAAAATCTACCCATATTTATACATAGGTAAGGCCATATAGGTTAAACAAAAGAGATTTTCAACTTCTGCTAACATCTCCTTTCTCCACTTTCTTATACTTTCTGAAAGTGTGGTCTTATTATATATTTTTTAATGTAATGCTCTTAAAATATATCTGACTAATGTCATAAAATGCTTCTTTGTAATTACAGTTCAGAAAAACATATTTTAATGTAAATATTAAATATTAAACATACTTAATGTTGTGCTATTCAAAATTTAATATCAGAACTAGTTTTTTTTGGTCCACAATATAAATCAGTAATAGGTGTTCAAATACACATTTTTAATTGTTATAAACAAAGATAGTCACAAATGCGAAGCTAACCTCTGTGTTAGCCAGTGAACTACTTGTTTGCTTTCTTTTATATGTTCAGTTTCTCTCTGAATTGCATCAATGAACAAAGAAGTCAGATCCGGTTTCCCAAAGACGAATCATTAAGGACAGAAATAGTCTCCTGAGCACAGGAAATCTGTATGCACCTGAACAAGGACAACTGGGCTCCAGGGGAAATAAAAATGTCACTACCATGCTCATTCAGGTCTGGCCACAGAACCACCAGTGATATCTAAAAGCATACTAGTTAGGGAAAGATAAAATGTTTGTTCAAAGAAAAATCACACTCCTTACATATGTAACTCAACCCAAAATTTAATGTGCAGTATATAAATCTTAGGAGCGAATATTTAAATTTCCCTTTATCTATATCCATTATTCTGTAGTAGCATCTTCAACATCTCTCTGTGTCTCTCTTTATGTAATGGACAAAGTACAATGGCAAGCAAAGTTAGTTTATTGCTCTATACACTTTAAGACGGGGGTCCTCAAACTTTTTAAACAGGGGGCCAGTTCACTGTCCCTCAGACCGTTGGAGGGCCGGACTATAGTTTTTAAAAAAAAAAAACTATGAACAAATTCCTATGCACACTGCACATATCTTATTTTGAAGTAAAAAAACAAAACGGGAACAAATACAATATTTGTATTTGCATGTGGCCCGCGGGCCGTAGTTTGAGGACCCCTGCTTTAAGAAGTGTATATATAGAGCAATAAACAAGACTCCTAAGCAGCAGAAACCAAAAGCTCTATAAGAATATTACTCTTAGAATAATTTAGTAGAACAATGTTAATCTGAATGTCTTAGATTATACAAATTGAAATTAGGAGTATTTCTTGAACATCTGAGAACTAGTAATAATGCCATTGTAATAACTTGGTTATTATTTAACAAGAAAGGATGAAAGGGAAGACTGGATATAGGTGTGCCATTTATACAGCTTTGCCAAAAAGATGCATTTAACATTATCCAAGTCAGTTCCCTGATGATGGATGGGGGAAGGGGATGGACAAAGACAGTTTCAGTGGTTTTCAACCTTCCTAATGTCGCGACCCTTTAATACAGTTCCTCATGTTGTGGTGACCCCCAACCATAAAATTATTTTCGTTGCTACTTCATAACTGTAATTTTGCTACTGTTATGAATCGTAATGTAAATATTTGATATGCAGGATGTATTTAGGCGTCCCCTGTGAAAGGGTCGCTCGACCTCCAAAGGGGTCGCAACCCACAGGTTGAGAACCTCTGGTTTAGATGAATGCCCAGTAAGGTCTGAGTGATGTGGGAAGATGCTTGTCTGCCAATCACACCTGAAAGCAAGTCAGTGGCCAAGATGTGTGAGGCCACTGCAAGCACAGGAAACTTGAATATTTAAAGCTTCCAACCAAAAGAAGTTCCCTTTCTTTCTTCTCCCTTAGGCACACCTGATTCCTGGCTCTCCTGTGGCAGGGGGATGCTTTCCCCTGTGCCCACATAGTGCATGGCCTTGTTGGACTCCACACATGGACTAATAGACTTTAATTAGCTTGGATACTGAGCCACACCCAGTTGAAACATGGAATAGAAGCTCTGGACACTGGCCTTTTTTGGCTCTGCTGGAACCCCAGCTGCACCTTTTCCAGGACTGGCTTAGGGGTGGGGGACTTAGGAACCAGAAAAATTTAACTCCACCCAAATAAAGTTTTCATCCATATCCCATCCTCCCATGGGGGCTTCTGAAAATACTTATTTCAGTGGTGCCCCCAGAACCTACACCTTGCTCCCATGAGCGACAGAGGAGTTTAATTCTCCGATAACAGTACCTTTATACCAAAAATTTATTTCACAGTTATATGTGTATTGGGAAGAGCGAAGGGAGAAGGTGCAAAAAGTGGGGACTTGTAAAAAAATCTTTGTAAGTGAAAAACACCAATGAAAGATTTTTTCATCTATCATCTAAAACAATGACCAACACATTTTTTTAAAATAAACTTCCTCATTCAAGCAAAATTCAGTATAATCTATACGTACTCTGAATGAAAGAGCCTTAAATTGAAAGTAGTATGAGCTTCAACATATCTCATTAGCAAAATTTTATGTGCTACTACCTCTACCACTGGAGGCCTGGCATTAAAGCACCAACTGATACAGGTATTTTTAAGAACATGAGTTAATTCCTACCTCTACGTAGTCCTTGGCGTGGCCCCAGTCTCGTTTGGCATCCAGATTTCCCAAACTGAAATGTTCCAGCTGTCCAAGGTAAATCTTAGCTACTGACCGGCTAATTTTTCGAGTAACAAAATTAGCTCCTAAAAAGAGACAAAAGATATATTATCAGTAGAGTGCATTTGACATCTAACAGTTTGGTGAACCAAATGCAACCTCAGCCTCTGGGCATTCCTTTCATTCCTCCCCTCTTCCCCCTCTTAAAATAATAAAAAGAAAGAAAAAGATCATTAACTGTCATTTAGACAAGTTAAGAAGCTCTAATTCTAAGTGTCACCTCAGCTCTATTTTCATAACAAACGTTTTTCTTTGGGGGACTTATGTCTTAACATTCCTAATACATTGCTGCAATATGCGACCCAGGCATTAGGCCAAAGAAAAGCTATCCCAATGCCAGTTTTTAAACAGAAAATTCAAAAGGGTTATATAAAGGGAAATGCCAGAATGGAAGACAGACATCTAAGACCACCCTGATTTTTTAAGAACATAAACATCATATACTCCTATTAATAAAACTATTTTGGGCTCATGGGGAGAGGGGGAAGAGTATAACTTAGCTCACAGTATGTATATCTGGTTAAAAGAAACAAACAAGGAATGCATTTAGGTTGTCAATAAATGGTGATCACTTTTATTTAGAAACTTGCATAGCTATCCAATTATAAATTATGCTCCAATTCTAAATCAAAGTTTCTCTGTACTACACTTACTGCAGTGCTACCTTCCAGTTTCACTTAAGTGTTATATATATGAATGGGCTCCTGAATTCTTATAAATATTTTGAAATGAATGAGTAAAAGTGGTCATAAATTTAAGAAAGCAATTAAATTGTTTTAATGTTCTAGAGTCTTTAATGAAAGTCTCTATCTACTTTTAAAAGATCACAAAAGGGACACAATTAAAAGACACTGCTGAGACAATTTTATCAATGCCCCTGTATCTAGGTGAACTTATCACAAAACACCAAGTAATGCCAAGTTCTCCAGGTACTAACACACATATAAGCTAGTCAATAATGGCTTCCCACAGTTTAGATAGATTAGTATCATAATTTATCACATTTCAATAACTTCAGCTTTGTTCTTTGCAGATGAAGCAGGAAGGTGAATGTTATGATGAAAACTTTTGGCTTCTAGAGAAATTGGCACAGGAATAAGGGGAATTTTTCTAAATAGGTTTTCTAAATTTTGGCAAGAATATGGCCCAGTGCAAGTTCAAACCTATACTGGATTCACTTACTACACAAACTCGGTGTATATATTTAAACCAATGCCATGTCCTTAAAAATGACGGGAAGAGATCAACCAAAGAACTTATATGCATATATGCATAGCCCATGGACAGAGACACTAGTGTGATGAAGGCCTGGGGGCAGGGGCAGGCTGGAGAAAGGCAAAGGGGGAGAAAAAGAGAGACATCAGTAATAGGGTCAACAATGAAAAAAAAAATGACAACGGAAATCCACATTTTCAGTTTCTCTTAGCAGTTTACAGAGCACCTTAAGAAATCCCAAGTTTCACCTTCTCAACAGCAATTTATAAAACACCCAGACCTGTTTCAAAATGAAGAAATGTTTATTAGGTACAATCCTTCAAAATCTATCACTGATTAGCACTATTTATTTTCTATTGACAGTAACAATTACATTGATAACTAAATGCAGGTTTCTTTATGTATTTCTATTTTAATGGCAGGATTATACTAGATAAACTTGTGATGCCCAACCATTAGAGAAAGTTCCCAAAGTAGTTCAGATTATTCTATCTGCCAAAAAACTACTGTTTAGGAGTCCAATGGAAGCATGAGAAGTTCAAATAATCTACTTAGGCCCTAACCTCATGTCCATTCTTTCAAAATGTTTTAATGGGGCACCTACCAAACACTAAAGTGCCAGGCTAGGGGGTCCAGGAGTGAAGCAGCAGCCCCTGCTCTCAAATAGCACAGATAGTGTAAGAGAGACAAATCAATCCATACTGCCAAAAATTAAATAGCAGTTTTTCAAGGTCAGGGCCTATGATCCTGCTGCTGCTATGGTCAGGAGATACCTACCAGAAAAGAAGCCTGAAATGAAGCTGCTGGTGAGGTCATGAAGGGACTAAAGAAGTTGTGCTACAAGGACAGTGATCCAGGCAGAAGGAATAGCACATGCAAACACAGCGAGGCACCTTGCTCTTTAAGCTCTTGCCATAGCCTGGCAATGACCACAACCATGACACCTCTGGTGATGGCTGTTGCTATTAGCACAGTACTAACCTATGTAGATGCAGAAACTCATGTAATTTTCAGAGCAACCCACAGCTAAGAATTATTATTACCCCCATTTTTAGATAAAGAAGCTTAGATTCAGAGAAGCTATGCAAATTGGCCATTCTAGAAGAGAATTCAGATCAGTGTCTATGTGACCATCAAGCCCAGGCTCTCATCTTACCTGGACTCAGAATGGCATACTAGGAGTCAGGGAGCCTTTCTTACCTGGATATAAACTCTATCTTGCATAACTAGTCAGACTTATTTAAAATTTCTAGTTTTTTAAATTTCATTTTTAACAGCTGTATTGAGATATAACTCACATACCATGCATTTCATCCACTTAAAGTATCCAAGTCAATGGTTTTAGTGTACTTAGAAATTGGGTAGCCATCATTACAATCAATTTTAGACCATTTTTGTCACTCCAAAAAGAAACCCCAAATCATTTAGCAGTCTCTCCTCATTTCCCCTGACACTCCTGGCCTTAGGCAAGCACTAATCTACTTTTTGTCACTATAAATTTGCCTATCTGAACACTTCATATGAATGGAATCATATATGTGGTCTTTTGTAACTGGCTTCTCTCTCTTAGCTTAATATTTTCATGGTTCAGCTATATTACAATATAAATCACTACTTCATTCCTTCTTTTTTTCAATCTTCAATTTCTTTATTGATTAAGGTATTACATGTGTGTCCTCATCCCCCATTAACTCTCACCCCCACTCCCACTCATGCTCTCATTCCCCTGTTGTCTGTGTCAATTGGTTGGGCTTACATGCATGCATACAAGTCCTTTGGTTCATCTCTTCCCCTTACCCACACCCTCCCCTACTTTCCTTCTGAGATTTGACAGTCTGATCGCTGCTTCTCTGTCTCTGGATCTGTTTTTGTTCATCAGTTTATGTTGTTCATTATATTCCATAAATGAGTGAGATCATGTGGTATTTATCTATCTCTGTCTGGCTTATTTCACTTAGCATAATGCTCTCCCAGTTCCATCCATGCTGTTGCAAATGGCAAGAATTCCTTCTTTTTTACTGCAGCATAGTATTCGATTGTGTAGATGTACCACAGTTTTTTAATCCACTCATCTGCTGATGGGCACTTAGGCTGTTTCCAAATCTTAGCTATGGTGAATTGTGCTTCTATGAACATAGGGGTGCATATATCATTCCTTCTTTATGGCTGAAAATGTGGATATGACACATTTCATTTATTGTTCATCAGTAGATGGACATATGGGTTGTTTCCATCTTTTGGCTATTGTGAATAATGCTGCTATAAACATCCATGCACAAGTTTAAGTTTGGATATTATGTTTTAATTTCTCTTGGGTACATATCTACAGGTGGAATCACTGGGTCACAGGGCACTCGGGGGGAAGAGGGGGGTCCCTCAGCCTGGCCTGTGCCATCTCGCAGTCTGGGACCCCTCGGGAGATAACAACCTGCTGGCTTAGGCCTGCTCCCAGGTGGCAGAGGGCAGGCCTAATCCCTAGGTGCAGCCCCTGGTTGGGCTCAGAGCAGGGCTTATTGGGGAGTTGGGGCGCCGCCCCTGTCATGCACAGAGCAGGGCGGATCGGGAGGTTGTGATGCCACCCTCAGTCACGCTCAGGGTAGGGCCGATTGGAGGGTTGGGGCACCACCCCCATCACACTCAAGGCAGGGTCGATGGGCAGGTTGCGGCTCCGCCCTCTATCACCCACAGAGCAGGGCCGATCATGGGGTTGGGGTGCCGCACCCTGTCACACTCAGGGCAGGGCCAATGGGGAGGTTATGGCTCTAACCCGTCACACACAGAGCAGGGCCCATGGGGGGCAGGGGGGTTGGGGCGCCGCACCCTGTCACACACAGGGCAGGGCTGATCAGGGGGTTGGGGCACCGCAGCCTGTCACACACAGAGCTGCAGGGCAATCAGGAGTTTGGGGAGCTCCCCCCTATCAGCCACAGAGCAGGGCCCGTGGGGGGTGGGATTGGGGTGCCGCACCCTGTCATGAACAGAGCAGGGCCGATAGGAAGGTTGTGGCCCCGCCCCCTGTCACACACAGAGCTGCAGGGCGATCAGGGGGTTTGGGCGCTGCCCCGTCACGCTGATCCCGGTGCAGGGAGGCCTCGCGGCTCCGCTGATCCCGGTGCTGGGAGGCATATTACCCTTTTACTATATAGAATAGAGGCCTGGTGCATGGGTGGGGGCCGGCTGGTTTGCCCTGAAGGGTATCCTGGATCAGGGTGGGGGTCCCCACTGGGGTGCCTGGCCAGCCTGGGTGAGGGGATGATGGCTGTTTGCAGCTGGTCACACACCCTTCAGGGTGGGGATCCCCACTGGGGTTCCTGGCCAGTCTGGGTGAGGGGCTGAGGGCTGTTTTCAGGCTGGCAGGTGACTGAAGCTCCCAACCGCTCCTTTTTTTCTTTTTTCTTTTTATTCTGGGCCAGCTTTAGCTATGAGGCTCCAGCTCTTAGGCCTCCACTGCTGAAAGCAGGTTTCTGGCCTTTGTTTACCTTCTGTATTTGAAACAATGTTGCGATCCTGCTGGCTGAAGCCCAGTGACTAAAGCAGGTTTCTGGGGTTTTGTTTAGCTTCTATATTTGTAACATAGTTGCTTAGAGTTGCAGCTCAGAGGCCGGCTGCGGCAGGTGGGGAACGTTGGAGTCCTCCGTCACTGAAGCAAGCAAGCCTCATGTTAGCTTCCAGCTGCCTGGCTGCCGGCCGCCATCTTGGCTGGCAGTTAATTTGCATATCACCCTGATTAGCCAATGGGAAGGGTAGCGGTTGTACGCTAATTACCATGTTTCTCTTTTATTAGATAGGATTATACACGAGGGCTAACATC